GATGGAGATTTCTTATTCACCATGTCGCGCGAGGGCACCTCCCAGAGGGCAGAAGCTGATGCCGAGGCTGGAGGCATTCTGATCGCCAACTCGGACGGCCCGTGCAGCGAGGCTCTCAGCTGTAAAATTCGCGGCCGCAGGGGCCGCGTTGGCAGCAGCGCAGGTGAAGGCGCCCACACCCCTCAGCAGCTCGGCGTCGGAGTTTGTCCCGTTCAGCCCGCCGCTCCAGGAGTCGACGGTCGAGGACGGGTGGATCGCAGCTGCGGCGCCCTGGGAGAGGAGCGAAGCCCGAGCACGGCTGTTTCGGGATCCCGACCTCCTTCGAGGCGCTGGAGCACAGAGAGGCGCCGTGCCGACTGGCCCACAGATCAACTGGGCAGCCACAGGCGACAGCGGAGCGCTCCCGAATGCATCGTCGGCATCGCCACCCACAGGTGCGTGCCCGCAGCCGTGAAGGGCAGCCCCGCGGCGTTAGGGCTCGGCTCGAAATTCTGATAGTGGGTCTGGGGCCGTCGCGGGCGGGGTTGCTTTTGTATGGGTTTGTTCTCGGGCTTCCTCGTCGTGCCGCTGGGTCGGCGCACAGAGCAGAGCAGTTGAGTGGAATGTTCGTGCAGCGGAGGGCTCTTCACTACCACATGCTGTTTGTATCGTGCCTGTTGGGTAGTGCAGTTGATTCAGTTTGGATATCACCTCGTGATGGCGTCCACTCCACTCCACTCCACTCCTCCTCTCCCTCCTCCTCCTCCTCCTCCTCCTCCTCCTCCTCCTCCTCCTCCTCCGAACATCTCATTCATGCGCGGTCAATGAAGGAGCTTCCCGAGGAGCTCGGGGAGGCAATCCGTCGTCCGAGTGCTCGGGGGGGCCTCCGCCAGAACCTTCTGAACGCAAGTGCGCTTCGTCCTCAGGAGCGACAGGCGCAATGCTGTCAGGACGTGCCAGAGGGTTGGGAAGGTCGCGGGGGCGCCGAACTCGGGGCCAGACAGGTTGGGGACAAAGGTGCTGAACGGGTTCATGGTCGCTGATTTGTTATCGCCGATGGCGACAAACAGACGATGCAGCTCCGCCTGCTGAGCCTAGCGGGCAGAGGAGTCCCGCGCCATCTGGATACGCGACCGTTCATAGAGGGACAATTCCAAATCGTGAGATTTTTCAGTTTCGAATAATGATTCCTGGTAGGATTGAAGATCAGCAGCGTGGCAACTCTCCCCGCCGCCAGCACCTCGAAGTCGAAGGTCGGGATAAGCGAGGGGTCGATTGTGGCAAGGGCCCTTTCCGTATGCCAGGGGTCCAGGAAACCGATGCCGCTGGTGCCAGGGGTGGCCCCAGCGGAGACGAAGAGGCGATACTTTTAGGGGTCGTGTGGGGGGACGGACATCGTGATGAAGAGTTGGCAGCAGGCAGCATCTTTGCCGGATTGGGGCCGCAGCGGCCATGCCATCGTGCAGCGTGCAGCTGTCCATCCATCCGGTCGAAAGCGGAGTCGCTCCGCGACGCGCAGGCCATACCGGAGAACATTTTCAGGTCGCCGGCATGTGAAGGCCTTCAGCGACTGCACCGACATGGGCGCCCGGAGCGCTGGGCTCTTTTGAAGACCCTGCTGCGCGAGGCGGGGCGCCTGATCCGCAAGGAACTCCAACGGCTGCCGTTCGGGAGCGGATCCGAGGAAGTCGGCGATGGCCGGCGAACAGCCGCCAGTGCTTGCTGCAAGGGGCATCTGGCGGCAGGGCGCGGCCTAAGCCCAGACCATCACTGACACCACGGAGTTCTGGGCCTCCAATTTGCTCCTTGGTGAGACAGGCGTGGTGCTGCGCGACCTCAAGGCCTTCTTGAACCAGTCGGTGCGCTTCCACGCCCATTGTCACGGATGCCTGCAGAGCCTTGCGGCCCACCACGCGGAGGATGCGGCCCAGCTTCGCCAGGTAGGCGCAGGCCCTTCGGCATCGCAAATATGGAAGCCACATCGAGTTGCTGGCCGGCGCGCGCAGCTGTGGGTTCCGTACCACAGACGTCTTCACCTTCCTGGCATTCGCGTGGATTGTATTATCGGAAACTGGAGTATATACATTACCACTGGCGGGCCGTTTTTCAACCCTCGGACTTTTTGAGGGTCGGGGACGACGCTGGGGTGGTGTGGTGTATACTTTTTTCCTCGATGTCCCAGGGAAACATAGAAAAATGTATACACCAGGGTCCCGTGTACACCAGGATCCGCTCTCCAGTGCAAATTTCAATGCAGGGCCAGAAAAATCGGGCCGGACGAATAGGGGGAATTGGGAAAGGGGGGGTTCGAAATTTGCTGCATGCAGCTGGTTTCGGCCCCGCCGCCAGGCCCATTCCTCGATACATGGGCGCCTCCCGGCGCCGGGAGGCGCCGGGAAATCAGCTACGCGAGTTGATTCTCACCCCCCCCCTATCCCCCCTTTCGCCCAGCTCGAAAAAAGCGTCGGTGTATAGAGTTCGATTCCTTATATTGGCGTGAGTCAGAGGCGACGATAGGGGCGAATAGCCCAGAGGAGAGCAATACGTGTATTCAGGGGCGCCGATGATTTATGTCTTCGACAAGGCTCCCGGGCGAATGCGTGTAATGCCAGCCCCTGGGCAATTCGCCTCTGTCGTCGCCGCCGAGTGAGACTTCACGTGGCGACGCACCCGTGCTTGCAGAGCTTCTCTGCCACTGGGCCCCTGTTTTCGGCGGCAGAGCAGTCGACGAGGCCATCATATCGACCAGTGCCTGGCCGAGCACGTTCCTGACTCCGAAGCCCCGCGATTGCCCATCCCGTGGTTGAAGGCGCTTGGAGGGGGCCTTCTGTCGGGCACAACCCTCGGCGCCCAGCCCTGACCGCCTACCTGCATCGGCGTGGCTGCTGAAGGAGCGGCTTCTGCAGGTGCTCTGCTCGGTCATGGTGGGCCTCTTTTGCAGGACGCGAACCTCCGTAAAGCCTCAACATTTCGGACCTTGCGTTCGTGCCGAGGCGTCGCAGCGGCTGACGTCATCCGGGTGGCTCGGCAGCTGCGACTGTTGAATTCAAAGAACGCCGACGTCGAGGCCCTGACTGCCGCTGTCAACCACGAGCTGGCAGCAGTCATCGGCGAGAGAGCGCGCCCCGTCCAGCAGGGGGTTCATACGGGGAAGGAATTCCCGAAACATGTTGTCGCCCATGACGCTTACGGCAGGGCTGCGAGCCACCACAGTGAGATGATACCTGTCTGTGTGTCTCTCCGAGTGTCTTTTGATTCCGAGGCAGCGTTTCCTCCGCTGCGGCGGCAGTTCCTCCCCCGCGTGCTCCTGAAACACAGGATCCTTCAGGGCCGCGTGGCCTGCGTGGATGCCGTCTGCGCCATCTTTCTCGCTCGCCTCGATGCTGGTTCCCTTCGTACCCGGTGTGCTCTTTGACTTCTGCAGTTGCCCAGGGGTGCCCCTTCGGGCACCCTGTGGGCCCTCGCCATGGACCCATTCTTGGGGCACCTTGAGGAGCAGGCGGCCCAGGCCCGGCGCCTAGCAAGCTCGCCGCCGCTCAACGGCGCTTGTGCTGACGATGTGATGTGGGCTCCACTCCCCTCCGCTCATGACCTCCGTCCCCCTCCTGAGCCCACCTTTCGCCTCGGCTGAAAAGGTCGCCGCGCTAGAGGTTCAGCCTGCCAAGTGCGTCTTGATTCTCTTGTGGCCGCGTTTCACGGGAGCCAGAGCCCAGCAGATGCGCCAGCTCCTCCAGGTGTCAGTTATGGTGTGGAGTGCGCTCAACATTGCTGGACGCGCTTCCTATCTGGGGACTCTGGTTGGCCCAGAAGCTGGTTTGGAAGATCAGTGGACCGGGGCGGTGCGAAAGTGGAAGAGCAGGACCACAGAAACGCCCTTCACCGGGGCCCCCGTGGAGATTAGCAGCAGGATCTGTAACATGGGGTTCTCTCAGTGTGCCACTATCTATCCCAACTTTTCCCCCTCCCTGCTGCTGTGCTCTCCGCTCAGCGCCGCGTCCTCCATGGCCTCTTGCGTCTCCCCCCGAACTCATTCGCGTTGGTCGAAATATTGAGCATCAGGAACTGGCTCCACTCTGCTGGCAGACAACGCACCTCACTTTGAAGTTAGGGCCGGTGGAGGGGTGGGGGGCCGCTCTAGCGCAGCTGCGATGATATTCTTGGGTGCATGGGCACCTCGTGGTTTTCATCAGAGGGGCCCGCGCGCCTGAGTAGTGGAGGAATCGTGTCAGCATCGCCGATTACTTTGCTGCGCTTTCTTCCTTTCCTCCCGTGGGTATCCCCCGGCCCGCCTGGCAAGGAGGCGTGGCAGCGGCCAGTGTGGAGCTCCGTGCTGTCAGACGGGACGGCCGTCGCCCCCGCCCACAGCCAAAGCATGTTCGGTCGCTCCGGCTTTCCGTGTTCTTTGGTCTCATGCCTTCCCTCCTTCGTCGTCGATTTGCTCCTGTCTTCCCCGCTTCCCCAATTCCCAGACGAAGATGAGGCAGCAATGGGCAGCGCTGCGTAGGATTCCGGCGAAGACTCCGCCAACTGGGGGATGGGCCCACCTTGAGACGTTGGCCAGCCCCTGGACCACCTCAACTCGGCTGCCAGACATGGTTCAGAGGCCCTGTCTGTTCGGATGGGAGCCCCCATCGCTTGACGACTTCAGCCGCTACATTTCGTGCCCCCGCGTGCTTCACCTGCTTGGGCTCCCTCGTGGCCACTTGCCCGCCTCTCCACTTACTCGTCTCGGGCTGTGCATGGGGACAGTTTCGCAGCGGGAGTATCCCCGTGCCCGTCTGCATCTGATTCCTGTCTTGGCGTTTCGCATACGTGACACGCTCAATGCAGAGTCTGATATGCGACGGAGCGTTCCCAACACGCCCGCGCTTCACTACGCAAGTCTGGCAGTTGCGAAGGCCGCCATTGGTCTTTAGCTCGCTGCCGCGCTGTGCCGCGAGCTCATTCGGTACGGTCGCTCCTGATCCTTCACTCCGCGACGCGGGGCCGTTCGGGCCCCTCCCCCCCTTGCCCCCGTGCAGGACCCGGACGCCGTGTCCGTGCCGACCGCCCGGCCTGACGGATCGCCGTTGCCCCCGCTGCCGCCCGCTGCCGCAGGCGGGGCGGCACCGCCCGCGACGACGACGAGGACGACGACGACGAGGACGACGACGAGGAGGACGACGACGACGACGAGCAGGACGACGACGACGTCGACGACGACGACGAGGACGACGACGACGAGGACGAGGAGGACGACGACGAGGACGACGACGACTAAGACGAAGAAGACGACTACGACGAGGACGACGACGACGAGGAAAACGTGGACGACGAGGACGACGACAAGGAGGACGACGACGAGGACGACGACGACGAGGACGACGAGGACGGCGAGGACGACGACGACGAGGACGACGACGACGATGACGACGTGGACGACGACGGCAACAGAGACGACGAGGACGACTACGACGACGACGATGACGAGGACGAGAACGACGAGGACGACGACGAGGACGATGATGACGATGACGACGACGACGAGGACGACGGCGATGTCGAAAAGGACGACGGCGACGAGAACGACGACGGCGACGACGACGACGACGAGGACGACAACGACAAGGACGACGACGACAACGACGAGGGTGACGACGAGGACGGCGACGACGACGAGGACGACGACGAGGACGACGAGGACGACGAGGACGAGGACGACGAGGACGAGGACGACAACGACGACGACGACGAGGACGACGAGGATGGCGAGGACGACGAGGACGACGACGGCGACGAGGACGAGGACGACGATTACGACGTGGACGACGACGACGACAATAGAGACGACGACGAGGACGACGACGGCGACGATGACGAGGACGACGACGACGAGGACGACGACCAGGACGACAATGAGGACGACGACGACGAGGACGAGGACGAGGACGACGACAAGGCCGACGATGACGAGGACGACGACGACGAGGAGGACGACGAGGACGTCGACGTCGTCGACGAGGACGACGATGACAAGGGCAACGACGACGACGACGAGGATGACGAGGAGGAAGACAACGACGGCGAGGACGACGACGACAACGTCGAGGACGACAACGACGAGGACGACGACGAGGACGACGACGACGACGAGGACGAGGACGAGGACGACGACGAGGACGAGGATAACGTCGAGGACGACGACGACAACGACGACGACGCGGACGATGACGACGACGAGGGCGACGAGGACGACGAGGACGAGGTCGACGAGGACGAGGACGACGAGGAGGACGACGACGAGGACGACGACGACGAGGACGACGACGACAACGACGAGGACGAGGACGACAACGAGGACGACGTGGACGACGAGGACGTCGAGCAGGACGACGAGGACGACGACGAGGACGACGACGAGGAGGATGACGACGACGAAGACGAGCAGGTCGACGACGACCAGGACGAGCAGGACGACGACGACGAGGACGACGAACACGACGACGTGGACGTCGACGACGACGGCGAGGACGACGACAACGAGGACGACGACGACGACGACGACGAGGACGAGGAAGACAACAACGAGGACGACCACGACGCCGACGATGACGACGACGACGAGGACGACGACGACGAGGACGACGACGGCGACGAGGACGACAGGACGACGACGACGATGGCAACGACGACGGCGACGAGGACGAGGACGACAATGACGTGGACGAGCAGGACGACGACGAAGTCGACGACGACGACGACGACGAGGACGACGACGGCGACGACGTGGTCGCGTGGATGGCGCCCCCACTGGCTCTCAGGGGGCGGCCCTGAGCGGACGCGGACGCCCAGCGAATCCACCAGACCTGGTTCCGAGCGCTGGCGCGTGTGCATCCTGCGGCCTGCCCCCTCGAGCTCAGGAAGCGAGAGACAAAGCCACCCATTGCCCGCCCCCTCCTCCCCCCTCGTTTCGTTTCGTTTGCCCCAGCCCAAGAAGTCAGGATCATGACGGCCGCGTGCCCTTCGAGGTCATCCGCTTCAGCGCCTGGACGCTCTCGTCCACGGCGACGGCCTCGGCCTCGGATGAAGGTGTTGGCTCCTACAGGAACATACCAGGCACAGCGAGGGGGAAGCGGATCTTTCCTCCCTCCCTCCCCTTCCCCTCCTCCAATGGGTACTGCGCCAAAGCGCGTCCCCAGAGGTGCCGACTCAATTCCCAGGCGCAGGCGCAGCTTTGCGCCCAGGATCTGCTTTGGGTGGCCCCAGGGTTCGATGCCAGGCCGCGCAGGCCGAGATCAAGGAAACACGCCTGGCTTGAAAAGGTCACATCGTCGGAGATCTGGGCTTTCGGGTCACAGCTCGGGCCTCCGGCCGCCGTTCGGGACGATTCTGGCACCCCCAGGAACGCCCTCGGCGAGGCGCAGCTGCCTGACAGCACCCCGAGGCCAGAAAACCGCCGAGAACCTGCCAGAGCGTCCGAAAGTCTCGAGCCCCGAACCCGCCGTCCCCTTCCCTCCTCCTGGGGGTGTCGTAAGAGTGACCTTTCGCCGGAGTGACCTTTGGTGCGGGCACAGATGGGTCCCCAGATGGCTGAAAGCGAAGCAGGAGCAGCGGCTTGCGCGCCCAGGTTTGGTCCCCCTGCGACCCCCAAAAAGCCGCGCACCAAATGTCACTCTTACCCAGGGTCAATCCTGCGTGTAACCGAGGGTGCTGCCCCAGAGCCCCCGGTCGCCCACTCGGATCGGCGCGGGGTTGCTGAGGGATAGAGGGATTGTCAGTGGATGTCAAGGTGTACTGCATGTGGCCCAACTTAGCCTATGAGTGGGTTGCAGGTGCCATAAGCGGTTTCGGGGGATGGCGATCCGGGCTAAATTACCTCCGCCCAGAGTTGCCTAATCCCCCTCAGCCATTGGGAGTATTTGTAACCCGCTGACAGGCCAGTTCAGGCTACGTGTAACCCACCCTGGCATCCACTGACAAGTCCCCTGTCCCCTTCTCGGGCTGGGCGAAAGGGGGGGACTGGGAAAGGGGGGGCTACGAAACTTGCTGCATGCAGCTGGTGTCGGCCTCACCGAGGGGCCCATTCCTCGATACGTGGCCGCCTCCGGGGCCATGGAGGCGCCGGGCAAATCAGCTACGTGAGCCGATTCTCAAACCCCCCCTTTGCCATCCCCCCCTTTCGCCCGACCCGACCTTGGCAGCCCCCGGCGCCGATCCGAGGGGTCGCCCACCCCACGCGGACCGCCGCGAGGCCGGGTGGCCTCCGCCGAGGGCGCGGGCAGGCGGCTGGCGCGCAGCGGGCCAGCGACGGAGGGGCAGCCGCCGCGCCGCCCCCCTCCCCCCCCTTTCCGGCAGGGGGAGGCAGAGGCAGAGGCAGAGGAGGAGGAGGAGGGAGGGAGGGAGGGAGGGAGGGGGGAGCAGGGGGGAGGAGGGGAGAGGAGGATGCGCAGCAGGAGGCGGAGGATGGGGAGGGGGAGGGGGATGATGATGATGATGATGATGATGATGATGATGATGATGATGATGATGCTGATGCTGATGATGATGATGATGATGATGATGATGATGATGATGATGCTGCTGCTGCTGCTGATGATGATGATGATGATGATGATGATGATGATGATGATGATGATGATGATGATGATGATGATGATGATGATGATGATGATGATGCCCTACGCTTTGGAATGATACGTCTAGGCTCGCTGGGCCTGCACAATAATCGGCAAAACTGCACAAGAAGGGGCAACTCCCCTGTTCGAAACTCTGATAACGGAGTTTGCAGCACAAGAAACCGAGACGGAGACGGCGGGCCTCTTAGCTTCGGGGACAATACAGGGCTCTATTCACGATAGTAGCCGACGGGATTGATTAAAGACGGCTAGCCGAGCTCTAAGCCAAATCCAAACACATCAAAATCGGCCCCCTCATCGAGCTCGCCCTCGACCCCTACGTCCTCCCCCCAGTCGGGGGAGGGAGGGGCAGGGCAGGAGGAGGCAGGAGAGGGGCGGAGGTGAAAGGAGCGAGACGAGCGAGGTGGGCCTCAGAGTACCCCGCGGACCGATGGGGCAGGGGTCGGGTGAGGGCTCGCTTCTCTAGGATCTTTACGATAGTTCTACGTATGCATATTAATGGTCAATGAAAAAACGGTCCCTGGCTCTGTTCATTACTGAGGTCGGGGGGGGGCGCAACTTGGCGGCATCAGGGGCAAGCTGGTCTACTTCTTTAGTCACTTCTTCGGCAAGGGGCGAGACGGCTCCGCGGTCCACTCCGTCTCCGCTCTGGTGCGAGAAGACGTGCCCGATCTGGAACATGTCGCTCTTGATCTCGAGCACGGTCTGGATTTGATGCCATACGTTGTACCAGCTGCCTGAAGATGGGGCGCCTCCGTCCAGCAAGTTTTGGAACTCTTTCACACACTGCTCATTGTCACAGAAGATCCACGTGGGCACTTCCGCCACGTGCACGAGGTGTAGTAACGCCGTGGCCTCTGCGCGTGCGCTGCTCTGGCGGGGTCCTGCCAACTTCGCCGCGAAGTTGAGCCTGTGCCGAGGAGCAACATAGATAGCATAGCCCGCTCGCGCGAGCCAAGGGTTCTTGGGGAAACGGCACGCGCCGTCTGTCGCGACGGCCATCCAGCGCTTGCCGTCGTCGTCGATCACGTAGTTGACTTGGTCCTCCGCGGGGTCCCCGTCCAGCTCGGGCGGAGGTCGATGCTGTGGGGGCTCGGGCTCGGAAACCATGTCGTTGTAGAGCTTGACAGTCTCGTGGTCCATGACGGTGAGGCCGCAGTGTCGGGTAAACGGCGGCCACTGCTCGCGTTCAGCCTCCTGGGCTTGGGGCAGAAGGAGCAAGGTCTCCCGCTCGGCCGACCAGCACGGACACGTCCATAGTATATGTTCTTGGCTCTCTTGTTGACGATCACAAAACCTGCATTCAGCGTCGGCATCTTCTGCTATTCCCGATCGCTGTAGCCTCTGCTGTGTATGATCTCCCCCGGCCACAAATACCGTCAGCAATCCACTCTGCCAATTTGTCAGTCAGTCGCCACTTCTTGTTCTTGGATCGCAGTAGCCACGAGTTTGCCACCATGTCCAATACATATGCTTGCTGTGAAACGTCTCCCAGGTCATGTCGTGTTGCTGGAACTCGTCGAAAGAACCAGCGCCTCTGCGAATCGCTGTGCCCCTCCAGCCACTTGATCTGGGTGCCAAGGTCGGTCTCGAGCATGTCGAAGTCGGGCCACCTCCACCTGAGCTGCTCCAGCGTCTTGATGAAGGTGCGCACTGGTCCAGGGTGGGCGGTCGTCACGTCCTGGATCCAATCACGAAGGTCAGCGACGTAGGCTCGTAGTTGAGGGACTCGCAGCACTTGACGTCGCACCGATAGCATCACTTCACGATGACTGATGGCACATGGATCGAGAAGATGACCTTTCAGAACAGCTCCCAACAACATCCACTGGCGTATCCACTGTCTTCCTGTCGGCATGAGCGCTGCAAACAGGGCCTGGTAGTAGTCGCGCATCTTGATCTTGTTGGGCGGCCCCAAGTCAGCACAGACCGCGATCATCGAAGCCGCCAAAGCTTGAGCAACATCTGCACGTTTGTGTAAAGGAACAGGTAGCCGTTGAACGCGACGACGTCGCTGGACAGCATCATGAAAGTGGGCGTCCATGAGCGTGGTGTCGTCCTCGCCTCTGGTGACGATCTGGCTGCCGACGAGCCTGAAGGCGCGCTTGACGGGGAGGTTGTGGCCCTGCACCTGGGTGGCCTCCAGCTCCTCCTCGTCCGTGGTCCACGCCACCAGCTTGCCGAGGTGAAGCTCCTGCCCCGATGCCTGGTCGAAAAGCAAAGACTGACGAAGCGACTCGCGAATACCTGCCATGTCCCACAAGGTCGAATTGGAGTCGCCAATGAATGTAATCGACAACGATCTGGGTGTTACTCTATGTTGTCGAGCTGTCCATACGTACATTAATACTTTGATATCATCGATGCTGAATGCAGATCCTTGCACATGGGCGTTTGTTCTCAGTAGGGGCTCGCTGTAAGTACCTGACATTCGGAGGTAGCGGAAATGTTTGCGATGAAAATGTTCGCGAACTCGAAGCACACTCTCAGGACATCCCGCATGCAGTTGAAACTCGATGCATATCTCGCTCACCAACAGGTCGAAACATTTTTTCCGATCCTAAGCGAGGCCGTGAACCCAGTGCTTGTAGTGCCTGGACCACTCGACCAGCAAGGCAAGGCTTGTCGAGACACCTGAAAGCCTAGCCCCCGCCGTGGCTCCGAAACTCGTGGGATGGCACCACTTCCGCCTCCAGGGCTCCAGTTTTCGCTGCGTCGGGACTTCTCAAGGGTAAAGCCAAACCGAAAGGATCGACAACAAACGTTGTTGCTCAGGAAAATCCCCTCCCCGTTCCTCAGAGCTGGATCCGGAACATGGGTTGGAGCCAAAGGGGCCTGACCCGAATTCTGCATGTCTCTCAAAACCGCAGCAACCACCGCCTTGATGGCCGATGGCAGTGCTTTCGCTTCTGCAGTCGCCCACCCGTCAAAACCTCCAGCCTTGCGAGAGGGGCGCGCCTGGAGAGAAGCGCAAACCTCAGCATCACTCAGATAGGTCTCAGGGCACGGAGAAATAGGGGGGAGCTCGTCCTGGTACTCGCGCTTGAAGTCGGCCCACGTCGGGGCCTGGTTGGTTCCTCGGTATTTCGCCAACACAGGTTCCCAGGTAGCCTGCATCAATTTGATGATGTCCTGAGGGTTCGTGACGATGTCGTGGGTGTCGGGTTTTTTGAGGAAGGTAGTTGGGGCGTGGGATGGCGCTATTACCCAGGCACACACCTCTCGACACCCTTGCTTGCAGGAAAGAGCAATACGATCTCGCCATTGTTGCCGCCGTTGACGTTGTTCTGCCTCCGCGTACTGGGTCTGTTCGGCCAAGACTTGGTCAGCGGCTGCTTGAGCTTCTGATGACGAGGGCCATGCAAGCGGTGTCCACCAACCTGGCCACTGAGCACATACTGGTTGAAGTTGCCAAACTTGCTTGCAAATGTTGGCCCTCAACTGATGGTAGAGCTGAATGTCCACGTGGCTGTCTTCCCCGTCTGTGCTCGTAGCGTGCAGCGCGCATTCTGAGCTGGATGAGCCTGCGGTAGAGCTTGGTGTACCTTGGGTAGGCGAGATAGGCGGGGCCGCCCAACCCATGACAAAGCGTGGTGCCCTGCCCCGTCATCGAGTACCAGGTTTAGCGTGTCCGTCACAACACATCTCCAAGACATCCTCGCCAAATTGGTTGGTCGCGACCTCGAAGAGCTGCTCAGGATTGCCGGCCACGTTGGCGATCTCGACCTCGGCCTGCTTGACGATCATCTCGCCGAGGGCCTCCCTCTCCTCGTAGGGCATGGTGATGGCGTTGGCATCGTGCTGCTAGGGCTTTTTCCCAACGGCATACTCGAGCTGAAAAAGCTTCGGCGTTCAAGGTGATCTCCAGGCCGAGATGACCAGGGCAGCTGAGATCACGAATGAGTTGAAAGTTCCCCACCATCGCGTGGGCGCTCTCGTTCGCGAGGACATAGTCTATGCGGGACGTGTGGTCCTGCGCATCGTAGCGGTTCAAGTTCGGGTCGCGCCCGTAGGTCATGGCGTCATAGTCGTCGAAACTTTGCGCGACGTTGACCCAGCCTCCTTCTTGGATGAGCCAACTCAAGTAGGCCGATTCCGTAATGTCGCACTGCGCGTCCATGGTCACAAAGTAGGGTGCTGCAGAGCCTCGTAGCGCTACCGCTTGCCACGCGTCCGCGAAGAGCGCCTCGTTCGACTCCGCCGCAACGCCATGACGGTAGCGAGGTAGTAGTCCATGATGTGTTTGCTTTGGCTGGTAGGAATAGGGACAAAGACTTCTTTGCATTGCTCGGTGGCTAGAAGGCGTTCATGAGGTGGATGCTGTGCAGGTGTACGCACAACGTGCACGGATGTTGGAGCGATGCTAGCAACTCCCCCATGGCCCGCCACGACGCCCTTGATGACGTAGGCGCGCTTGCCTTGCTTCGCCGCCACCTGTCGTGGGACGGGCTTAAGCGGCGGTCCCCAGTTTGCTTTCCATCCGTGACGTCCCAGCTGGTTGTTCATGTAGGATCTCTGTGGTTGGGTATGTCGTACTTCTTGTAGAGCCGCTACGGCCACTCCACGATCGCCGAGTGCAGTAAGTAGCCCCCAATGCGCTTGCAAAGACGTGACGTTGAGCGACACCAGCCTGTGCGAATCAGGTCCGTCGCCTTGAAGAGAGTCGGAGTAGGAGCGCG